TTATCAGGATTATGCAGGCACTGTAATTCACAGCTTACATGACGACCAGGTAGTAAATGCTGTGGTCAGCATATCACACTCTGTTGAGCTGACCTCATATGCGTCTATAGTGGAAGTCATTCACTCAGTGAAAAACCCATCCCGGACACAGGTAGTCGACACCAGTGCTAAAGAACACTGAGTAATCAATTTTTACCTGGGAAGTAAAAATACCGAAGAAAAGTTCGAATTCAGTTCAAAGCGCTAGCTTAACAGAGTTGCACGTATGCTCCCAAAATGAGTCTGTCACCACGCATTTCTGATGACACTCCGGGGTGCCCACATCTTCTTAACTAAGGCCTCCGATTGTCAAACATGTAATGCAAAAAAATTCGGAAAGATGTTATCACCGATTGTGACATTCTGAGTAGAAAGTTATCTAATGCACACAGACCACTGTGTCACGAGTCAAAACAACCAACACTCATTTTGGAACAATTTGAAATCAAGGAAATGTAACATCAGAAATCTTCTCTGAGTTTTTCTAAGCCAGTTATGGTGGAAGTTGTCAATGACTTTGTCGGCGACACGGTCAACTAAACTACTATTGGTAAATCAGTACTACTTAGGGTGGTATTGTGTTGAGCTGACCGACAAACAAGTGGAGCAGATGTGCATAGTCGCAGAGTATGGGCACATGTCCCAGCTAGCTAGATGGGAGAGCCATAATGTGTCCAAAAGGTGGTCTGTCGGCCCATACCAATCTTCAAACACAACTGAGTATTGATAGCCACTGCTCAGGTTGGTCTGCACAAACAAACGGACAATCTGGTGACCGGAACTAAAAGCAATAATTGGCGACTTACTGACGTCATCTGCAGACGTGAACAGTGGTACTCACCCGGTTTTACAAATATGCACACAACTGCACTTTAATGCCTAAGGATTAGGTTGATCCAAAAGTGGAAAGTCCATTCCAGAAGTTAGATGGTTTCAATTGCGGAATATCACAAAAAGAGACTCAGGTAAACCTCAGCTGAGCCGCCCGTTACCTCAGTTAGTAAATCACAACATACAACTAGGCGCTGAACTGAGAAATAAGGTTCATAGACCTTCTGAGGATTAGGGCTACCGGATGAGTCTTAAGAGCGAAACCGCCAGTGGGCTGTTCAGAGTTGGCATCGACCGTGAGTAACATCGGTAGATGCTTCGTTCCTACTGGGAACCATCAATAGTGGGCGCCAGGCGGGTCACTAGGGGAACTCGGACTTAAAACCTTCTAGATAAGGGTATGGTAGCCACTATCAATCTATGGTTTGATGGTCAACAAGTCACGTTTAGACCAGATGAGTACATCTCTCAGTCAAACAGATCACAAGTTGCCTGGCCCAATGGAGTGATGAGTCCTCAAAAGGGTGCCCACACATCCCACGGGTTTTCGGCATCTGCGTATTTCTTGCTCGGCAAACAACATAGAGTGAAGGGTTTTACAGGGCATATGGTTCTTCGGCATACGCAAGCCAGAACTTGACAAGCTCATCCATTACAAACCAGGTGCATCTTCCAAGACTCCCCTTGTGTATGCAGGCCAGCCGTCCCTAATAACCGAGCACCACATCATTTGGACGGATGTCACGTGCAGGACACGGGCCAGACGAAGGCATGCCCTGATTGGTCAGAATACCAGCCAATCCGAGCCATGGACCTTGACTCGAAACTTCGCGCCCCCTCACGGTGATTCCAGCACGACCTTGTGGGACATTCTGTAGCTGCCCTATAAATACAGTTGTAATAATTTTCCTTTGTCTCCATAAAGGGCTGTGTAGAGCTACCATGCCTTTTGATGTACCATAGTGGGCGGAGCAGAAAGCCAAGGGATCGCTACAGAGTTGCGCTACCGTTCAGCAAGTCACAACACCTCTGCTCTACTGTTTTAATGTCTTCACCAGAACCTTATTAAACTTTGTTGGATACCAAAAGACTTTTCGTGGGAGTAGCCATTTCCTGGCTGACAAGGGAGAATCTAATGCCATGGAGCATTTTGAACCCTGATATCTAGAGGTTCGCTGCTATCACAAGGTTCACAAACTGATAAAACGCGCACTGACATTTCCTACTGGAGTGGAGGCCTTGTCTGTTGCTACGTCTAATGTGGCTTGCACTGTTCAAACCCTCCACTACCCGTAGAACGGATATCAAAATTTCCCCGAGTCCTCTGGTGGGGAACATTCTAACGAGGCGCATAGACACTTGGGGCCCGGGTATGACAGAAACGTTCATCAACAGCGTGTAGCTGTAAATTCCAATAAGCAACTCAAGTGAAAACAATTCGCAGATAGTACATTGTAAGAAGTACAGTCACTAATTTTCGAGTCCGTACAACCAACTGAACTCCTATCAAGGTAAAACAATATAACCAAGTTCCCCAAAACTAAACCTACCATCTCTACTGCCTAGGCGTGGACCATAAAGAAGTAAACTCTCGTGCCGCAACAATTAACCGAATGAGAGTGCCCGATTTCAAAGTCGGCGCAGTTGTTGATGTGTAGGCCTGTGGATAAACCCAATATCCGCGTTCCGGTGGAGGCTACAGCGGCTAATCAGGCAAAACAAATGGTTGACGATATCAGAGTGGGTACTGGCGCCATGCTGATTTAGGTAACCACCCGAAAGACATTCGAATGGATACATTCTGAACATAGTAGGCCTTAATCGTCAAAGCAACCTACGCTTTTCTGTGGAGAACGCAAACAGCGTCACTGATGGGGCTGTGTGGAAGTTGATGTCCTCAGTGGAAACAGGAAACCACTGATGGAGAGAAGTGCTGCAGTTTTACTGAAACTGCTTCCTAGTCTAAACCGTATGTTAGTACTCAGTGTGGATATCGAACCTCCTGAGTTTCGATATTCTTATCTATTCAGGCTGACTCAACGCGCTGATTAGCTCCACTCACGATTCACGGCCCAGTCTAATGACGGCGTCCGATTGCTGTTGGTGTCTGTTCTTCTTGAGACGCTTGCCCACCAAGGAATGCCCCGGAAGTTTGTAAACATAATACGTTCCTTGTATTCTCAGACTTCCGGACGTGTGAGAGTGTACGGAGAGCTCTCCAAAAGCTTCCGCACACAAAGCGGTGTCCGTCAGGGAT